AATCGATTGACATATTTTATTTGCTATTCAATATATCAAATCTAGCATTACAAAAATCCTTTAGCATATCATATTTGATACTTTCTTTACTTAAGATTATATATCTCTAAATCTCTGTATGCATATAGAATTGAAATAAAATGAAATACTTACTTGTAGGTGAACTTTGTAATGTTTAATTTCGAACAAATATCTAGCTCTGAATTTGGGTATTTTACGCATATATAGATATATAAAACATGTTATTTAAGATTAAGAACCCAATGTAAGCTATTATATTCTATTTATTATGGGTTGCAGTTTTCTAATTAATAAGAGCTCCTTCAGCTTTAAACAAAAAAAGAAGCTAATTAACTTACCGGTTGAGATTTGGATAAGGATATTGAAACTATTGCCGTTAAGTGAGCTTAAAGACCTATGGTCACAAGAAATTATACTCAATAGAAAGCTCGCATTTGTGATTGGGTACCTATTGGTTAATGGAGATATTCACATATATAAGATTTCTTCAAGATATTGGTCATATTTTGAGCCACCAAGTTTAAAGGCGCCATTGGCTGCAAAAGAATATTTTAATATTTTACGACTTGGAAAGAGGAACAATTTTGGATTTATTCCCAGGAGCATAACTGTGATATTTTTCTTATTTACAAGAAAGTGCTATTCGAAACTTAAAATTTTCCTTGACTTTCTTTACAGTTGTATAAACATTGGGTCGGTGAATTCTGAAATTGTTCTTGTAAACGGAAATTTAAAACTCTCTCAATTACAATTTGATTTCGTTAAACCTTTTCAAAGAGTATATCAATTATATCTATACAAAGATTATTCAAAAAGGTTAACAGGAAACATCAATGTTACTGATCTAGTATTGGAAGTTGATAATCAAAATGATATTACGCAATATCCAAAGCAGTTAAAATATTTAAAAATTTCTCCGAAACCAAATACGCTTCAAAGAAATATACACATTTCGTTGAAAAACCTTCCTGCGAGTATAGTACATCTCAATATCGATCAAAATATTAATATTTTAGACAGCGGGAGAGAGTTCTCTAAATTGGAATATTTTGAATGTCTGGTCGAAAAAACTGATAATCATTACCTCGTGAGAGAATTTTTATTGAAAAACAGTCTTAGTTTGAAATACATTCATCTAGAATATAATTCATTGGCTGACTACAGTTTCAGTCACTTTAATGAATTAAGAATTTTGAATTTAGTCAAATGTTCAAACATACCCTTTCACACTTTGAATTCTTTGCACAAATTAAGGCGACTTTCTTTCATCAGTTGTGATATTTCCACAATTAATAATATGAATTTTCCCCCAAAACTTAAGGAAATTTACATTTCACCCGGTAATAGAGATATCCTTCAAGGTTTAGTATTGCCCAATAGTTTAGAGTCAATTACAATTATCGATGTGGAGCACATAGCATAAAACACAGATATGTAATCAAGCATTTTAAAATTTTGTTATATCATTGCAACTCTAGTAGTAGAACGTGCTTCAGGCATAATTTTAGTAATTATTTTAATTATTTCTTATCGTCATTCAAACTTTGTAAATATGCAAGTCTAGCATGGTCTTCTGGTGCAATCCACTGTGACGCTGTTTCTTCGCTTTCCGCTCTGAAATTATCGTCGATATTATCGAAATTAGCCCAATAGAAACATCCACAATCCTTATTTTGGTATTTATTTTCACAGCTCCAAAAATATTTACCCCTGGTTTCAATTGCCTTAAAAGATCTTCTCAAAGTCATTGCTAAGTCACATCGGCAACGAGGTAGTTGCTTTATAAAGTCCAATGGAAAAAATCGAAATGTTAAGTTAAATCTAGCAGAGCCAGATATTGAATTCACCTGAAAGGCTGTACGCAATGCGTTTACACTATGCTTATATTCTTCTTGACATCCAGGCTGCATTATGACCATACTATTATGAGGAATTATAATTGAATATATCGGCGAGGGGTCTTTACCAACCGAATAGTTCTTTCTCAAACGAAATTCCCTTGTAGCACCTAACGATATAGATGCAATAAAATTATGAGGTCCTATATGTGACATTCTGTCAGAATGCCAATCAAGGTTATTTGAAAGGCTCTCGAAGTAGTTTACAACACACACATCACTATTCCACGTTTCAGTTGGCTGAAATGGCAATCTTTTAACGTTAGGAATTATGTTGTTATTCATAAAATCTTTAACATACGTTGATACATCTTCGAAATCTTTGTTATAAAGATTTGATTTGCCTTTTTTTCCATTATAAATCAAATTTTCATACACTGGATCTATATTAGGAGTGTGAAAAAACCCCAGAGAGTGATTTGCTTTACAAAGGTTATCAAACAAGTAAAATTCATGGGGTGAAACCTTATCTGTTTGAGTCATTAGATATTTAAGTATCCGATTAGCCAAATCTGGAGGCAAGAATGACTTATGGAATGAAACATAAGGCGATAAATGCTGTTCTACCTCTTCCACCGTATTTAAAGTTATTACCCTCTTTCTACCAGATAAAGTCTTGAGCTTTTTGCATTTTGATACCGGTGCAATCAAAGACGTTATCGACGTCTGATATAAAGTTCCTGCTTTCCGCTTCTGCTGAGGAGTTGGAAACGACTCATTGATCATCGATCTAGTCTCCGTCACAGATCCATCACAAGCCGCCAATAATTCGAGCAATGTATCCGTCTCTATCCCTGGGTAATCTTCCTTCAACGCATCAATCTTATTGTCTGTCATGTCCCGTCATTTCTAACTCTATCTAACAGCTCAGTCTTAGTAAGCGATGTGAAATAAATAGTGTAATCACATGATTTGCAACATTTTTTACATTTACTACATAATCATGGGTTTCAGTCAACCGTTCTTCTGAATATATATCATCTAACGGCCTTGATATTTCTTCTATCACGTCAGTTATATCTTAGAATTTTTTAGGAAAAAATTCTATCATTGAAGCTATTCTTCTGAAGTTGAGTCGCGTCCAAATCTAGAATCGAATTTCCTACCTTTATCTGAACTTGATTCTATAAAGAAATAATAGATTTCAAGGAAGTAGTATTGGTTTTTTGATATTGTATGGCAACTTAACGGTTATTGATAGGCTTTCTGTCTTCCATTATCTCGGCTCATTCGTATTATCCTTAAAGTTGTATTGCAACTTTGTGTGCGAAGGAACACGGAACCAAAAAATAAGATCAGATCGATCGAAAATTTTTATTGTTTGAAAGGTACATTCTGTAACTTATAGACATAATTTAAACAAGGAGGTCCATAAAGATAAACAAACGATAAAAGTTAATATATATTTGCATACTACATTTCATCGAATCTTATTATCAAAGGCTAGTCTCTACTGCTATTAGATTAAATATTGACGCACGCTTGATCATTCAATGTACTAAATAATGACAGAACCAAATCCAACAGTAAAATTGACCGAACCTACTCCAAAAAGGGAGCCAGAAGATTATTTTGACCAAACTCAAGACAAAGCAGTCTCTTCTGCCTTGGTAGGTGACGAAGATGAAGCCATCACACAAGAGCCAAAAAGAACAGAGGGTATGCTGTTAGATGTTCCAGAAAAAACAGAAGTAAGTAACTCAGATAATGATGATAATGGCTCTGATGTCACAAGTGTCACTATGAGTGAACAAGGAAGTGGGTACGAAAGAGAATCTAACGAATGTACAGAATGTTGTATTGACTTAATCGGTTGTTTTGGATTATTCGATTCCTGTTGTCCATCTACGGGAGAGGGTTTCATAACCAACCTAGGGGTATTCTGTGGTAATCTTCTCGTTGGATGTTGTAAATGTTAAGATAATAGAATCATTTTACGACTATCCCCTCATATTATCTACCCGTACTGGTTATACGGTGTTGTTAGCTGGAAGAGTTCTTCCATTTATATACATATATATATTCTGATACCTAGATCTTTCTGATTTAAACGCAATGTGGACTTTACATAATACATGTAAGACCTGAATGCAATACGTCAACTATGAGATATGATTCATGATTCCCTAGTAGTATATTTTTGTGATTCTTAAGAGTGCTCTAGTTAAGATAAGAAATTGGTACCTGTATCTAATTTCGCTGTGGCTTCAAATTTCGAGGAATAAATTTGCAACTTCATAGCGGCTAATCGATTTTACTTTGAATATTCAAGATAAAAAACCATTAGATACTACAATGAGCAGCCAGTCTGATTCTTACGAAGAAAATGGTATAAGAAACGAAAGTTCACCTGAGCCAACTCATTCCGAACCGTCAAATGAGTTGAACAATAAGTCTCTGAACAAAAGCGAGAACCAAAGTAAGATTTCCAAGTTTGACGAATCCCAGAAAAAAGATACCTCCAGCAAAATATCAGATCAAATGCCAAGTGGTTCAAATGAAACTCTTAGCAATGTAATATCTAGTGAAAATATAGATGAGCCCTTACATAAATTCAAAATACATGAAGGTGGCCCATCAGGGAATAACAGAAATCCTCACGATGAATTAGCTGAGTTAAATCAATACATTGAAAACTATAAGATTGATGCAGTTTCGCCCCTTTCTAATGAAACACAGACTTTAGCTAGTCCTCAAGAGTCTCCTCCGATTCCAGAGGTTATTCCCAAGGGAAAGCCACCTTTTATCAAGTCAAAGCTACTAGATCCTATTGGACGATATCCTGACGGTAGGTTTCTAAATACAATATTTCAGAATTCAGCTATAAATAGTAGTAAGAAAGACAAAGCGGAACCAAGAATTCAAGGAGAAACAAATCTTTCTAATTCTTCTAGCTTGCTGAATGAGAAAGATCCAAATTGGTTGCAAAAAAATAAACATCGTGTAACATATAGTTCATTATTTCTACTCATCTTATTATTACTTAGTTGCTTTATCCCAATTATTGTTACTTTATATAATGGTACGCAACATACTGTTCATAATTACTTTAGAATGCTGAACGAAGATGAACGTCTGAGAATGTTTAAGTCTTTGATTCATGATTATGGAAATTTAGATGAAAGCAATATCACAAGGATGTCACGAAACCGATCCAAAGGTGCTGATTTAGCAGGTTATAACACTTTAAATGGTATTAATCCTAAGTATAGAAATGATCCTGAGATTGTTTCATTAATGTCGGACAAAGAATTTTTTGGAACAATATTTTATGGGCTTGGTTATGCTCCCAGAGATGCAATGGAACCAAGATGCGGTGTCAGTAAGAGGGAAATTCTATTAGATTTATCTTTAATATCGAAAGTCACAACTAGAATTAGAAATTATGGTATGCAGTGTAATCAATCCGATTTCATATTAGATTCAATTCAAGATCTACAACTCAACATGACATTGGCGATGGGAGTATGGATTGGGTCTAATGAAACTACAAATGCTCAGCAAATAACTTGGATGAAGGAATTGTTGCAAAAATATCCGAGAGAGTTATTCGAATGCATTTTCATTGGGAATGAAGTATTGTTTAGAGAAGAGCAAACTAGCAAAAGCTTAAGCGAGTATATTGAAGATGCAAGGTCGTTTGCACAAGAAATTGGCTATAATGATTTACCAATTGGAACGTCAGAAATTGGCTCGTTGATTGATAAAACCTTGCTAAAAAGTTGTGATATCATTGGCGCAAATGTTCATCCTTTCTTTTCTGGGGGCGATGTTGAGACAGCTAGTCAGTGGGCCTTTGACTTTGTCAAGTATCAAATTGAACCACTAAATGAAGGATATGACACTGAGATCATTATAACTGAAGTTGGGTGGCCCTATAAGGGTGGTGAATATGAAGCAGCAGTTGCTGATCCTAAATCTTTCCAGATTTTCCTTAATGACTGGGTATGTGACGCTTATGAAAATAACTATGGCTGGTATTACTTTGAGGCATTCGATGAACCATGGAAAAAAATCTTCTACGAAGATGGAAATAAATGGGAAACTGAATGGGGTGTTTTTACAAAAAGTAGGAACCATAAAAAGAATATATTATTGCCCAATTGCTAATCTAAAGTTTATAAAATTGATATAATATCCATAACCAGAATAAAGAAAAACAGCCGAATGAAACTGTAGTGTTCAAAATAACCCACAAATCAGGATATCTTGCTGGTGGTAAATAGAAATAATCAACAAAATGAACAATTGCGACCGCTATGTATGATGCGCCTATAACCAAGTTCCAGAACCAATTTATCCTAGGGAAAAAAATATTATTTGATAATTTTAAATTAAAGCCACCGACTAACCAATTTGACAAGAGTATCACCACAATATATTGCAAAACAAGAGTTTCTTTTTTCAATAATGGCCACAAACTAAATGCTGCTATGTTGTTGATCCACTGTATCATAGAAATTGTATCTTTATCATTGATGATAAATAATAGTGTACTAGGTAGAAGAGGAACAAGCACATTCTTTTCATGCACTAAAAATGAGAAGAGATAAAATCCCCACGATGTAGCAGCAAATCCATAGATCAAAGATAAATATTTTACTGGAGACAGCGAAATATTAGAAAATTTCGGATTATAAATATTTTTATAAGAAATCATCAAGCATGGAGGTAAGATAGCTACCAATGTAGATAATAATGTAATCTTCTTTAGTTGGTCAATTGAGAAGATATCTCTGTATTTGACTACTAAATTTGTGGTACACCAGAAATTTGCAACCTTATCTTCAAACAAACCTCTTTCAAACGGAAACACCCTGATTAGTATTTGCTTTAAAACATTCAAGGTTTCCGCTCTTGTACAACTCGGTAAGATAATAAATGGTGAGATAATGACAATACTAGTTATTATTACAGCAAGACCAATGGCAATCAATTTCTTGAAATTGAAGCTTGCTATTAGTTTCTTTAAAGATTTTTCAGAACCTAAATCGTTATAGTTCAGAAATAATTTGGAAAAAAGGTATGCAAAGATAAAGGGTGCATAATATAATCCCATTTGCTTGAAGTTAATTGAGCTTATAAACCAAATTGATGCTAATATATAATTCCCTTTAATAAGATCAACTAATGAAAATAAGAATAGCCCTAACATCACTGAATTATACTGAAAATGGCCATGGTCAATCAAAATAAGTGATGGCTGGCACAAGATTATTGTTGATATAACAATTTGATACATTCTACTTAAATTCAATTTTTTTCCCATTATAGAAATAAAACCCAATAATGCAGGTATATATATCACTAATTCACTTATCAAGCTGGTATACCTCATATATGTTTTCAAATCTGATGATTCTAATCCTCTCGAAGAAAAAAACTTAAACCAGTCTGAATTAATTAATGATCCTAACTTGCCAAATAAGTACAGGTGAAAGGCAGTCAATGGTGGGTAGTCGAGACCCCAGTACAATGGATCATAGAAATACCATTTATCGATAGGAAGATGTATTGTCAATTCCATCCAATGTCTTTGGGCTTCAAAATCTCCATTTATTGGTTTTTCACCCTGCCCCAGAAAAGATCCTAGGCCAACAGCACTCCTCAAAATAATTGCTGTTAGTATCAATATATATCTGGCTGTCCATTGGTCTGGTGCTTTTTCAAAAAACTGTAGTAAGTCATAAATCGGCGAGTTCTCAAATGGAGCTTGTGAATTTTTGACAGCTGTATGTTCCTTTGCCTTACTAGACTCTTTGGTCTTTCTTTTGGTCTTAGAAGATGCTGCTTGTGGTATTGATACTTTATTACCAGTCTTACTGTTCAGTTTTCCCATATTCGCCGTGTCAATGCAATTATTTTTACAAGCAATTCGAATGATTATTTGTAGATTCTCAAACAAGCCGTAATTTGGACAAAATATGTTGGATTGGTGTATTGTGTTTATTAAAATAAACATCAAAATTTATATT